CTTACTAGTTGCACAACCTTGGGAAAGTTACTCAACCCCTCTGTGCCTAAGTTTTCTCATCTATGAAATTGGGGAGATAATAATAGCAGAGTTGTTTTGAGGATGGAATTATTTTTAAAAAGCTCAGTTGAGCTTGACACATAGTAACTATGTATGTTTACAAGGGAAAATCCCAGAGAAGAGAGGGATCAATATAGTCTCAAGCAGGAGTTGTTAAACTGTGGCACACAGGCCAAAGCTGGCCTGCCACACATTTTATGTAAATAAAGTTTTATTGGAACACTCCTATGCCTGTTCATTTATGTATTATCTATGGTTGTTTTTGTGATACAAAAGCAGAGTTTAGTAGCTGTGACAGAGACTGGCCTGCAAAACTTAAAATAGCTACTATTTGGCCCTTTACAGAAAAAGTTTGCAGGCTCTGAACTATAGTCTTCCTTCTGTTGCATTGGTATGTAGTATATTTTCTTTATTCAATAGTAAATGTGTTTGCCACAGATCTGGCAAAAGTGTTTCCAGCTACTCTTTCCCTCTGCAAATGCCTGAGAGTCTGTAGGTCATGAAACTCCCATGAAGCAGCACATTGTACCACCAATGAAGCTGACAGGCTGCCCAGTGTCACAGAATGAATTGTGACTGAATCTTTTGTGGTGGTACTGTGGACCATTGAGACTAATATGAAAATTACCTTCTGAGCATTTATGCAAGATAATTTAATTTTAGAGCTCATAAACAAGATCAGAGTTATGTGGTTTAACAAAAGGTCTCCTTATGTGTATGTGTGCTTGCCAAAAACATGATGAAATCCTGGAACATGGGAAACTGAACATGCGCTTTTAGATTTACATGTGGCAGACAGAATTGACTAGTGTATCTGTTCGTAAATATTACTGCTGCTATTAGGAGGCACTTGGGAAACATGGACAGTTCTATTAAATATAAAAACGATCTCCTCCTTCACTATGGGGCCCTCATCCCAATAAATACACCCACGCCGAAGTCTTTAAAAAGTCTTTTTCTTTTTAAAATTTTATGTTCCATAATAAACATACTTATCTTTCTCCTGACAACTTGCCTATTCATTTGAACTTGTCCTGGTTCATATTGAAAGCCCATTTCCAATAGGGACTCCTATCTTGAGGCTGCTCTCGCATCATGTCTTACAGAGGCTCTAAAAGCATAGTGGTGCACAAAAACAGTTTAGTATGAGCTAGTCCTGGGCTAAACATTAAATTTGATGTATTTGCCCAACTTTTCCAGGTAAGTTTAGAGTTAAAAACAATCTTTTTTTTTCTTTCAACCAATTTGAAAACACTAGGTTAGGTCCTACCTACATGCCAACTGGAAAATAATCACTAGAGGAAAAAACACTTGACTTAACGTAAAGATATTGAGACACGCATAACCACTCAACAATGAACTGATAATTAGGGACTTGTTTTGTTAGCGTTGAGGACTGATAGTAAATGGGATCAGTTACCAGTTTCATTCAGCAAGGACTTATGTAGAACAGACTCTATGCAAAGCATGTTTGGCCTTGCTTTTTTATATTGGATTAGATATATTGGAACCAAAGTGCCAATAGCGGCCTGTAAGACTCAAGTAAATATATTTTATCAGTTTTAGTTCCCTAAAATAATATACAGAATGTAAGCACTTAATCACTATAAATATGATAACATGTATAAAAAAAGGATAGTATCATCTTATGAAAAATTATATTGTAGAAAACCTCACTTCTAATTAAACGCAGCAGATCAAAATAAGGTATTTTTTTCACTTACACATTGGAAAAGATAAAAAAGAGCTCAATAATATGCCATGTGTTGGGTGTGAGGGGAAATGACTGCTCACAGACACCGTTGATGGAGGTTCAAATTTGGGGCAATTTGGCAGTAGATACGTACATGTATTTCTTTGACTCAGCAGTTCTATTTCTAGGAGTTTGTTATATGGATATACTCACACATGTACAAAGATATATTTACAAGACTGTTCATTGCAGCGTTGTTATAACAATAAAAACCTGTTATAACAACAAAGTCTATAATGTGTCTGTTGTGGATTAAATTATGTGTACTTTAGAATGTGACTGTATTTGGTGGTAAGGCCTTTAAAGAGGCAGTTAAGCTTAAATGAGGTCATAAGGATGAGGCTCTAATCCAATATGGCCACTATCCTTAAAAGAAAGAGGAAGAGACAGCAGAAGCTACTTTGCCATTCAATATTCTAAAGAATTTGAACATGAGTATTCACAGCAGTCTTTATTTTACTGCTTAGATTCTCACAGAAGAAAGAAAACCAAGTCCTAGACAATTGAGACCTAGAAAGGAAAAACATGCCATTTTTTTCTGAAAGATCAAATTTCAGTGGAAATTATTGATTTTATAAGTATTTATTAATACTTAAACTGATAATTCCATCCATAATATAAAATATAATATAACTTAGAAAGGAATAAAGTAATACAAAGAAGGTGTAAGGAAATGATTTAACAGAGACCCTAATTCCAGGGACCTCACCTTATACTGGTAATACTGGAGTCCAGTTAATTTTATCCTAGAGCATGACCACCTAAGACTCTGAAATAACTTAGTGGGGAGTTTCACCTTGTGGTTGAGAGCATGATTTTTAGAATCAGACTATATTAGTTAGGGTCCTAGCTGGAATCAACAGATGCATTCAAATTATTTTAATTTATGAGAGATTTAATTCACAGACTATATATAAGGATGGAGTGAAATCACATTGGATGGTGCAGAACCTCAGAGCTAGCAACAGTATAGCTGTTACTGCCTCTGACTTGAAGTGGTGAAGGAGTGGAGAGACTGGTTCCTGGAATTTGAGGGAGAGAGTCTTGTAGAGAGTGCCATCTTGGGAAGCATATTGGTCTTCAGTTGAGGATATAGACAGCTTGAGGTGACTCCACAGCAGGGAAGCCCAGGGAATAAGAACCTCAGCCTCTGATCTCCTGATTGGCTCCCATTGGATGAATCAACTGGAATCCAGAAGGAAGGACACTGACACCCACGGATGCAGTTTATAGAGGTCGACCACCTGGCACTGCAGTTAGGTGGAGAGTGAACCTGGCAAATGAAGAGGTCGGCACACTGACCCATCTGAATTTGAATCACAGCTTTACTAATTCTTAGCCATGTACCTTTGGGCAAGGTAGTCAGTCATTACACACTTATTTCCTCATATGTAAAATGGTATTGATAATCCTATCCCAAGGGGTTGTTGTAAGGATTAAAAGAACTAATTTATATAAAGCCTTTGGTATGATGCTTCACTCATAGCAATGATCAATATATGCTAGCCACTTCAGTGTCATCTTTGTTGTAAACAGCTCATCACATCCTCCAACGGTCATATTTTTAACACATGCCTGCTTTGGTCTTAGTCTCAGAAGGATCTATCGACTAAGACAAAGATTCCCGTGAGGGGCTGTTTTGATCTCTTGCAGAGGGGAAGTAGCAGCTAGTGCTGTTGCTTTGCCTAGCATTGTGCCTAGTCAGCTAAATCTTGGAAGCCCTAATTTGATTCCTATTAGAGGTCTGACAATTGACAAAATGATATTACTCACCTTTTTTGTTTTTGATTTTTCATTTCCATGAATACATTATATTGTCAGAGGGTGACAATGTTAATATCTACTTGATGGTAATAATTTCTGGAAAGCACATGAGACACAGAATACCACCATGGTAGGCAAAAGCACAGTGACTTTTACACATTAGCTGCCAGGATTCTTGGCACCATTTCTGAAAAACTGTGTGGTGGACTATTTCTGGAACCTAACCATGGATAGTTCATTTTATTTTTGTTTAGAAATATGATGTTTTAAACATGACTTTGGAAAAAACATCTGTGCATCTCATCATAAGCCACAAAATGAGTAGAACATAAAATTTTGTTGAATGGGAAAGCATTAGCTTCTCAACAGTGTATACAGCTTAATCCACAATAGAAAGAAAATACGTGAGAAAAATGTCTTACAGTAACATGTCTTCATAAAATTGTGATTTCTTAGGTTGTGGTTATTTTTATCCTAAAAACCATCCACCAAAACATTAATTTTGGAACATGTAAGATGAGCCCATGAACACTGCATTTTAGCTACTTATTACATACACTCAATTTTTCCATTATAAACAACAGGCCCTTTCTGTGTTTCTTTCGGTTTGATTCTCTCTTCTTATAATATGAAAGTGTCCCCACTGAAATTTGGTCAATGTGGCCAGCCAAATTAGGGACTCACTTTTCTATGTTTTGGGATTCCATTTATCAGTACCTTCTTACCTGTTCATCACTGTAGGAGGAGCATTCAGCCCAGAGATTCTCAGCTCTCTCTCATTTGGCAACACTTTGTCCTGTGATCAGTTCCTATAAGAAATGCCAAGAACAAAGTAGCTTTACCCTGAAGAACAAACTCAATGCATTTCAGGAATAGAGCCTTTAACACGTGATTGTAAGGCATTCTGATTACCACAAGTCCTTTCTGGAATGAAATCCAGCATAGAGAAATAAACTAATACACTAGAAAAAGAATGTTAGAATTTCTTTGTGTCTGTGGAGCATTGATTTAATTATTTCCAATAGTGTTCTGTGGAGAATGTTTTTCTGTTTCCAGAATAATTAAAAATTACCACTGAAATTTTGCCATCTTCACATCGATTTAGGTAATGAAACAGCTATGAGATCTTCATTGGAAGCAGTGTTTACAACCTTTCCTTAATTTTTTAAAATTTAAAAATTTTTGTAGATTCAAGGGTTACATGTGCGATTTGTTACATGGATATATGATATGATGGTGAGGTGTGGGCTCCTAGTGTACCTGTCACCCAAATAGTGAACATTGTACCCAATTGGTAACTTTTTAACCCTTTCCCCCTTCCTACCCCACGCCCCACTTTGGAGTCCCCAGTGTCTATTATTTCCCCCTGTACGTCCATCAACTTTCCTTTTTTGATGATATATTTGGTGCCTCTGCCACTCAGCAGCTGTGATCAACTGGGTCATGATGGAATGGCTTTCTGCCATGAATATTCAGGGAGACTCGCCTGTGCCATGGAGGTTGATGATGGATGGGGGAGCAGGAAGAGCCTGGGATCTTTAGGACCTCGAAGGGAATGGATCGATAGTCGGGTAAGTGAATTATTTTCCAGTGTCATAATAGTGAGGTTTCTTTATATTGCTTTGTGACATTTTCATTGCTCCTTGGATTCTTGATTCTGGAGGAGGAACAAAAGGGTTTTGTTTGTGCCAGATCTCCTTGAGTTAGACATGGCCCATTGGCAGAATGGAGGCTGCACTTGAACTGGGTTCTGAAATTGGATGGGAGCCACTCTACGTGGGTTTTAAAATCAGGTTTCTGGGTCTGTTGGTTCTTCCTCCATCTGGGTTATCCCCCATTCAGAGCTTGGCAAGGGTAAGATTTTGTTCTATATCCCTAAGCTTCTGTGACAACAATATCCCAGGATATCTCCACCCTCCTTCGTACCTTCAAACAGTTACTACAACTGTTTGAATCTCTCTTATAGTAAGAAAATAATCTCACTGAAATTTTGATCAATCTGGCCAGCCAAATCAGAGACTTACTTTTCTATGTTTTGGGATTCCATCCATTAGCACATTGTTATCTGTTCATCACTGTAATAAGGGCAGTCAGCCCAGAGATTCTCTGCTGCTCTCAGCACCCTTGGATTAATGTAAGTCCACATCTTCCCTGCTAGGAGGAGGGCAATTGAAGAAGGAAGTATTTTAATTTTATATTAATTTTTAATTTCAGAGAGTAGTAATAATCCCATTGCCTTTATTAGAATTTTTAAGGGATACATTACCCACTTTCTTTTTTCACTTTAAACAGTAATGTCAGAAAAATATAAGGAAAAACATAAAGATTAGCAATAAAAGTGTGTTTGGCTATTGCAGAATTCTTTTTCTAAAAATTCAGGGCACTTTTTATAACATAATTTCGTATAATGTCACATTTTAAATAAAATCCTATGTCAGTCCCCTCCCCTGCCCCTGCAGTGCGTGCGCGCACACACACACTCACACACACACAATCATCTGCCAAAGGGGAAATCCACTTTGTCCTTAGAAATGGTGGTGGTTTGGTTAACTAAAAATTGAGTCTCATCCAGTGTCAGAGCACCAATGTTGTGGAAAATCAACTCCAGAACAGCATGGAGATATTTCCCAAGTTCACTAAAGTCTTTTGTTTGTTTGTAATGGAAATCTATCGTAGTGACAAAAGCAATCTCCAAACTGTGAATTGATTTTGTTCCAGAAATTCACGTGAAAGCTAGTTGTCAGCGCTCAGAACTCATTTTTCCATATAAGCAATGTTACAGGGTTAGTTCCGTTCCCAGGCTGGCTCCTAAAAGCTTACTTAACACATGCGCAGTTGAACAATGCTGCTCTAAACTCACAGATTATTGGTACTTGAGGGGTTGTCAGAGATCTTCAAATTTAGTAACACTATTAAACTGTACAAAGGATCAGAGAGGTTAAGGCTGTTGCTTAGGGTTATCCAGCAAAGGCAAGACCAGATCCACATCTCCCGACTTTCAAGTCAGTGACCTTTCCACTATACTGTAATTTGTAGAACTGGGCCACTGTTTACCACCTTATATTGGTAAAAAGGTTGCTTGTGAGTAGGTATATATCACTTTAGCACTTAGAAAATACTTTCCCATATATTAGGCTCACAGAGTCTTCACTATAATCCTATGAAGACAGTAGAGGAGATCCTGTTCCCATTTTTAAAGGTAAAGACACTGAAGCTTCAGGAGGTTAAATCAATTGCCCACAGCCACACAATTAGTAAGTAGGGCTCCAACCCAGCTCTTCTGAGCCTGAGGACAGTGTCCACTCCGCTCCTGACCTGCGGCAGCAGTGCAGCCCTCAGGGCTTCACACAGGGTGTCCATGCAGGGAACAGCGCTGGCTGGGCAGGTGGGAGGCTGGGTCAGTCATGGAGATGGGTGGGATCTGCCAAGGTGGGCTGCAGTGTTGATGGGGCTGAAGGTACAAGGAAAGGGCCTGGGAGTGAAGATCCAGGGCTCTGGTGGTTGTACCGCTTAGGGTAGTTTTCAACATCACAATGGGAGGTTGGGAGTTAGTGGTTCTCCCACTTGTTAACTAACTTAAGTTAAGTGAGTAGTAGGAGCTTGAAATAATGGCAAAGTGGGTGAGATGTGCATATTGCTTATATGGTCACATATGTGTATATATGTTGTACATATGTTTATGTCACTTTTGCTTAGAAACTTCCTATACAGGGCCGGGCGCGGTGGCTCACGCCTGTAATCCCAGCACTTTGGGAGGCAGAGGCGGGCGGATCACGAGGTCAGGAGATCGAGACCATCCTGGCCAACACGGTGAAACCCTGTCTCTACTAAAAATACAAAAAAATTAGCTGGGCGTGGTGGCGGTGCCTGTAGTCCCAGCTACTCCGGAGGCTGAGGCAGGAGAATGGCATGAACCTGGGAGGTGGAGCTTGTAGTGAGCCGAGATGGCGCCACTGCACTCCAGCCTGTGGGACCGAGCGAGACTCTGTCTCAAGAAAAAATAAAAAATAAAAATAAAAAAAAAGAAACTGCTTATACATAAAGATCATCTTTAACAGATCATCTGGCATATGGTTGATATTTTTTTGAAAAATTTTCTAAACTGATAAATTTATAATTGTATGTATGACAGAGCAAATCTCTGGGGGGGAAAAAAGTCCCCTGAAAAAGAGAAAGAAAAACTCATTCATAACAGTGCACCTTTACACTGATGTGTGTTCCTGCTGATGTAACACGGTGCTCCACGCATCATCATGCTGGTTAAGAATGCTGGTAGGAGCCTGTGTGGGTTTAGGGGTATGCTATGAGGATTCCTCCTGCTTGTTTGGTAGTAAAGATGGAGTCAGATTCCAATCCACAGCTTGGTAGACTGGACTAGGGATGGAAGAAATCAAGTCCGTAGCAGCAGCCTGTGGTCTGGAGGCTCGCTGCAGAATTGAAAACGGTTTCAGAACAACATCATATTTTGGTGCCACACGCCACATTTCTAAGCATTATGTCGTGTAGGAATTGAATTAGCATTCCTCAGTGCTTAATTTTCATTGTGACAGGTCTGTTTGCTCACTGATGCTTTTAATTTATTACCTTGCTATTGCAAAATGTATCACTCAAAGTTGTTATCTTGTTACTATCAGTAAAGCGAGGGAAAAACCCACATGGCAGGACATGGGACTCATTTCTGAAATGATTGGCAGACTGTGACTGCCTTTTCCTTTATGCCATTCATTTTCCCTCACGATTTCTTTACCCCTCTCTTTCCTTTAATTTTTAATTTTTCTTCTTCTATACTTCTTTTCTTTTCTCTAACTCTTGTCTTTCTCCACCTTCAGACTTCACCTCACTTTCTGCTTATTTTAATGCTTTTTTTTTTCTTTATATAATCATTTCCCTCCCACTCTTTCCTATTCTTATTCTTTGAGTCTCAACATTCTCTCTCATTCCTCTTCCAGAACTCACTCTCAGCTTCCTCCTACCTACTTACTTTCTTTAGTTTATTCACATTTTCTTCTTTGACTATAACATTTCCTAAATTTAATGCTCCTTATTTTTAATTCTGTCTTGAATTGTAAGAAAGAGAGTCTGGTTTTAAGCTTATAGGCAATAACCTAAGATGCTATTAGGAACAGGGGATACTTTTCCAAATCTCCTTGTCTAGGGTTACAGAATCACTTCAATGATTTGGATAAAAGGTAGTATATGAATCCAAAATACTTGTCACATTTGTATTATTAGTACTGCTAATAAGAATTTTATTTAATGATGAGTTACACCGAACTTGCAGGTCTTCCAACTTGGTTATGTATTATTTCAAGCATATATAATAGTTTCTACTCGGGGGAGGCAGCACAATATTGTGGAAAAAACATAGACTTCTGAATTAAACAGGTGTGAATTTGTATCTAGGCTCTGCTCCTAATTGGCACTGTAATGACGGTGAAGTATTGCCATCATTTATTGATTTATTTTTTTGTTAGGAAGCATCTCAAAGCTCACAGAAAAATATATATGAGAACAACTACGTACCCACCCTTTCTCTGTGTCAAATCTTATTTTACCATATTAATTTCAGATCTCTTTCTTTTGTTGAGGATTAACATATCACATTAATTACTAAACTGCTCTGATTTAGAGTTTCTTCAATTCTGAAATGGGTGTAGTCATACTTATATTCCAGAGTCATGAGAATTAAACAGTATGCCAAATCTAAAGTGCTGAAAAACAGTTTCTTCCTTTCTTATGTAAGGAATCATGAAAACATCATTTTAGTGGCATTTTAGACCTCTTATTAATTTTTTAAAAAGATAGAGAACATACTTTTCCTGACTATAGGCAGTCCCTAACCTTGACTTTGTAATTATAAAAATAGAGGTGATTTTCCTAGCACTGACTTTGGAACATACATCAAAATTTAATATTCGCTGAAACCAAGTTTTAAAAAAAATCTTAAAATTTGACAAACATTTGAATTTTCAGGAACAAACAAGTTCCTCATAAATGCATTTTGAAAATAATATTTTCTAGTCACTTGAGTATTTGACTGTAAAAAATGAAAAAGGTACTTTTCCTGGCATATGAGCGCATAAGAGTTGAAACCCAGAGTGAGTTTTCCAGATGCTAAGATGAGAAGTGTTTTCTTTGGTAGCTGATTCTGCAGCAGTAGCAGCTGCCCTAAAATAAGCTGTTGTTCAGGCCAATGAGGAAAGTATGTCCCAGATGGGGAAAGGGTAGCACACTGGGAGGCATGACTGCTAGAAAACCTAGGGTAACAGCTGCCGAGACAATGCCATGGCCATCTGAACCTCGCTGAGCAGCACAGGCTCAGCATTCATTCATATTTATTAAGTGCCTACTAAGTGCCAGGCACGATTCATGCCCTTGGGATACAGAAGTAAAACAACAACAAAAAAACCCTTTTGTCATGGAGCTTACATTCAAGGAGTGGTGTTGAGGACAAAGAGACCACAAATAAAAGAAAGAAGTTAATTATGATACATTAGAAGGCAGTAAGTGCTATGGAGAAAAACGAAGAAGGGGCAGGGGTTAGGAAGTGCTAGGTGGTGGCATGGTTTAT